CTGCTGCGCTGCTCTCTCTCCCTCTGTCTCTCTCCACACACACACACCAGCAGTACGTCCTGCACAGCGGGAGGGGAGGAGGGAAAAAAAGGCAGAAACACAGCGGGGCAGCTGCAGCCCTAACGGACCGAACTTCAAACAAGACCAAACACTTTTATTCCTGATTTAAACAGCGATCATGTGAGCAGCTGCAGCTGTGTGCTTTTATTATTTCTGTCAGGCTGTCGGAGCGCTCCTCCTCCTCTGTCCGAGGCTGGTGTGGAGTGAAAATCCTCCACCTCAAACGTTCAGAGATGTAACTATCTGTGATACTGTGGTCACTCTCTATGTAGCATCAATTATGCTAATGCTAGCTGTCACGTTCTCTCGTCCTGGCCACACCTCCGCTCTCTAACCACCCCCCACACTTCCCACTTTGATGCATTTTTCAAATTTCGCCTTGGGGCGGAGTTATCTTTTCACAGTGGGGAGCGGGGTAAGATACACTTTAAAGAACAAACAACCCCTCTGTGTAACAATGAGATTTTTTATTTATCAAATGGTAATACCTCTTAGTTAAAAGAAAAAAATAAATCAAAAACCTAAAGAACATCCTGTGTTGTCTAATAACAGCTGCTTGTGYCCTTTCAGGCACGAGAAGTACCGTACGCAGTATCGAGCCATGTTTGTGATGAACTGCACGGTGAAACGAGACGAGCTGCTGCGCTACAAAGACCAGCAGCTGAGGAAGCCGAGGAAGAGGAGGAGAGGCCAGAAAGCTGAAGCTCCTGCAGACCAAGCTGCCGCCTCGATGCCGGCGGCCGTGATGGACTCAGACGAGGTTTATCACCCGGTGAAGTGTTCTGAGTGCTCCACTGAGGTCGCTGTGCTCGATAAAGACGAGGTCTACCATTTTTTTAACATCCTGGCCAGCCACTGCTGAGACRACCTGAGCTTTGGTTCAGCTGCTTCACAGAGGAGTGACTCATCACCTCGACCTCTGAGGATCTTTGACTTTCTTGGATTTAATCACTTTGAAATAATCTYGTTATTTGGATTTAATCTCAAATCATTTCCTGGATAATTAAATCTATTTCTGGATGAAAAAAGTGGTGAAACCTTCAGTGTGTGCTCCGTCTGAGGAAACATTTTATGTTTTATACAAAAACTGAAACATGTTGTGCTTTTAATAAACTGTCCTAAAAGTTACTAAACTGTGACACACACACACACACACACACACACACACATATATATATATACAAATAAGTAAATAACAAAACAGGTTATAGGTGCAGACAGCCATTTTAAGCTAATGTTTACTTTGTGTATGAGTTGCATTAAAATCTTCATGTGGTTCATGAGATATTTTACTAACAGAACAGGATCGCCTGCCTTTCTTCTCTGATTGGATCATGTTGGAGCTGTCAGTCAGCCATATCCTGCTCTTAATCAACTGCATACTAAATTCTAAATTTCAATGTTGATTAGTTTTAGTAATGTGAATATAAATCACATTAATTTCTTTTTTCTAGTTCATCTAAAAAGGCTGCGTTTACTACATCTCATATAAAAGATATATACTGTATATACTTATAATGAGATTTTCATGATTACTTATTTACCACTAACTTAATGGAATTTAAATACATATAATCATGTTTATCATTATTATATGGCCCATATATGATAAAATTGGAAAGGGTTTGAGTTTCTTTAATAAYTTTGTTTAATTCCAGCGGGATTAAACACTTTTAATCACATTTTATRAAAGGGAAATTGACTTCGGCCTCTTTTAAACCAGTTTTATTTTGAAACCCGGAAGTTGGAACTCCTTTGCTGCGTCAGAACGGCATGCTGGAAACCGAGTCCTGATTGGCTGAGACCAACCATCCTATTGAACGTCACGGACGAACCAGGAAGTTGGTGTTGCTGCGGTGAAAGGTCTAAAGCTAAGCTGAGTTGTGGGACCGTGATGGCGCTCGGAGACTGTTGGAAGCAGCTGTCCTGGTTTTATTACCAGTACYTACTGGTGACCGCGCTCTACATGCTGGAGCCCTGGGAGAGGACGGTGTTTAGTATCCTTTGTTCTGTGAGCCGAACCGAACCCGCGGCTCCGAAGCTAAGCTAAGCTAGCAACCCTTGCTAACATTAGCTTTCCTTGAATTGTCGGAAGTTGGATCGGTACTTTGAGTTTATAACTAATGTTCAGTAATTTGTCGTGAATCTATGGTACTGTACATTCATTTAAATGATTTTATTTTAATGTTTYAAACTGAGCAGCGTTTAAGATGAAGCCTTTAAATTCATTTAACTTCCTGTAAAACTGAACAAGAGAAGAAATGTGATTGTTGTAGGTCTGAGTAAGTAAAAATAAATGTAAGTAAAGTTTTATTCATAAAGCACCTTTCACAGAAATATATTCACAAGGTGCTGTACAATCATTAACTGTATAAAAATGGTGGAAAGAATAAAATGAAACAGAAAAACATAATTAAACATAAGCAACAAAAATTGAAACATTAAATCAGGAATTAATTTCTAAAATTGTAAATCAAACACAAGGTCAGTGCAGGGTAAAATATACAGTAATACATATACAGTATAATATATACAGTAATACATATACAGTATAATATATACAGTAATACACAGTGTAGGACAGGAAAGGATCAGGCGTTTTAATTACTGTGGATTTCATAAGATCCAGAGTAAAATGATCTGAGCTGAGGTAAATATTCACATGTTCGTTAAATATTCACGTTTGTTTGGTTGTTGAAACATTTCTGATAACTCTGTACACTGGTTTTATTTACTGTTCATTATTCTAAAGCTTTTATCTAAAATAAGATCATTTTTATTATAAAACTGAATAATGCTTTATATTTTACAGCTGTGCAGTTATTTCAGCTGCCTGAGGTCACACAGGAAATAAAGTTTGTACTTCTGAGGTTTAGATTAGRAACAGTAACTTTAAAAACTAAACGTTTGTTCATTTTAAAGATAAATACTTCAAACGTCATGACACTGTTGTTTAAAAGTTTTCTGTAAAGACTTCACAGTTTAAAACATATCTCATTTACTCATGTTTGCTGATCCAGCAGCCAGTTTTCTCTCCATGAAAGAACATTTTCTGTTGATCTGGATGTTTTATTTCAGCTCAGATGAACTTCTGACACACGTGTGGAACGAAACGTTTGTTTTCTTCAGGTCAGCTGATTGATGGGRCAGACAGACGTCTCTGTGCCTCACTGAGTTCAGAAAGGCTCAACATTGATTTATTGACCTGCTGACCTGTCCTCGACCTGCAGATGTTTCAGTAAAGCTCTGACACAGCTGGATGAAGGTTTTCAGGTCCTTGTCCAGTAGACACGTGTCCTCCTTAACTCCTCCTCCTCAGACTCTCTGCTGGTCTCTGTGGCCGGCATGGCGGTSTACACCGGCTACGTCTTCATGCCGCAGCACATCATGGCCATCCTGCACTACTTTGAGCTGGTCCAGTGAGGTTCGTCCTGACCCGTCCCCCCCCGCCTTCAGACGAGCTGCAGCAGAGCCCCCTCCTCTCCAAAGAGAATCCTCAGTGAAGATCAGAGCTGTGGACGTGGGACAGTTCTCAGCTCCGACTTCTTCTTCCTCAGAAAAGATCCAGATGTTCAGGTTGGACCGCTGCTCTTTGCTTTAAACTCAGGACTGATGGACTAATGAGCTCTAATTAATCCAACAACCCAGATCTGATCATCATCATCATCAGTTCAAACCTTCATCATAATTCAGTTTGAACATCAGAGGTGAAATTTTTCCAAGTTGATTCACAGAAACCAAATAAAACCAGAACTTCCTGGTTTAAAAGCTGAAAGAAAGTGAAAAACAATCTGCTGCTTTTATTGTGAAAAATCAGTTTGTCACATCCACACAGATGTGAGAGGTGCAGACGGGTTTTCAGGAGGTTCTAATTCTTTAAACATCTTCATCATCTGAACACGTCTGATGTCCAAACGTCTCTTTACTGAAGGTCAGGAACGATCAGGAGAACTCTTCTTCTGCTGCTGCTGCTGCTCAGCTTTACACAAACACAAATGTTCAGATGAACCGTTCCTTCAACAGATAAATAATGTGAGTTTCAGTTCAGTCCCAAACAAACCATTATTAAAACTTTCTTTAGCTAAAATATCCTGATCAACCTCAGAGAAAATTCATCTAAATTAGATTTAAAATGTCTAGCTGAAAGTAAAGAAAATATAACAAGTTTTCTCTTATTT